AGGGACGACCGGAGCCCCCCCAGCCCCCTTCGCTTGGCCACTGTTGGGCAACGTGCTGGAGCTGGGCCACCTGCCCCACTTGGCCTTTGGGCGGCCGGTGCAGCACTACGGCACTGTCTTCCATTAGCCAAGTCTTTAGGTAAGTTAAAATAGCAGAAGCCCCTCGGCTGCACCCCTCCCACTTCAGGTCGTCTCTCAGAGCAAGCAGGGTCTGTGCAGGGCAGGTTTTGCCAGGGCACTTCCAAGGAACCCCAAGTGTCACTGGCAAAGAAAGCCAGGTTTAGCAGAAACAAGCCAGGGTGGGAGTTGGAACGAGGGTCCTGCTCCTAGGAGGCAGCGGTGTTGGCATTTCTGTTCCAACCCCAAGTCAGCAGTTTCCCAGCACAGGGGAGAGGTGCTCACAGCTCTGGCAGGCTCTTTGGATGGGAAACCAACTCCATAACGCAATTTGTCCACTTTCAAACCCCCCTTTCTGAGCCCGCCACCCTGCCCCAAGGCCGGGGGGTCAACGCTGACCTGTCCAAGTTGCTCAAGAGCATTTTCCCAACTTGCTCTAACCCGGCTCCCCGCCGCCAAGTTAACACCCAAGTATTGCAAAATTCAACAATTCAACACTCCTTCAGAAAATTCTAGCGGCCCAAGAGCTGCAGGTTTACACCGACACCTTGGGGATCGTCACAGAACACTCACGCCAGGTCACCACTCATCATCCACCTTTATTTAAAACCAAGCTCAGGTCAGAGCACGCCGCTCACCCATTTTTTACAAAACACAAGCAGTGGTGGTTGCATCGACACACAAAACCCGCGTTATTCTGGAGATCAGCCGCGATGTAAAACAAGAACGGCGCAAGTCGCTCCCCATCACATCCTCCTGTACTCGCGTAAAAAGCAAAGGGTGACACAGGCGACTCAAGCAGGACCCTCACTTATAAATATTTCATTTCCAGCAGAAGGGCACAGGCAGTTAAATCACTGCAGTTACTCTTTAGTAGCAGAACTCAACCACAGGTAGGAATGTTCTAAAATTAGGACAAAGAGTAGCTCCACGGGATTGTTCTCTGTCCCAAGATAAACCCAGAAGAATTTCTTCAGATGGGAGCAAGAGAGTCTCTACTGAAACTGCCCCAGGCACATTAATTTCTCACAGTCCTGGCCCGTAGCAGGGCAGGTGTCCTCGAGAAATTCCCATTGTCCTCCGGGATCGGTCTGCAAAGCACACGTAAATGTGAAAAAAGTCTCAATTCCTCCATTGTCTGAGCTACTGCTGAGCATCCTCCCCAGCACACCGAGAGCCTCGCAGGAGGCTGCGCCAAAGGAAAACCAATAAAAATAGTGCCAAGCACTGTTTGATCGGGAAGTGTTGTGGTTCCCCAGCCTTGCCTCACCTCCACGTCCACCCCCGAGCGATGCTATTAGAATGGAATTACGTTAATTAGTCACATTCCTCTTATTCACAACAAGTCAGGAAAAGGGAAAACCAAACCAAACCAAGTTCTTTGGATCGTTACACCACCAAATCCTGGAGATCAAATGGCAAAACACGGCTTGTATCTGCACGAGAGGATCTGTGAGTTCCATCATCACCTTTCACCACCGTGGAGACGCGTTAATTAGGTTCCTGCAGACACAGCAGATGAGATAAAACACCACGTTGGACCCAAAGCTGAGCCCAGCTCTGCAGGCAGGAAAAGCGGAATGTACAAAAACCAGGAGAGGAGACCTCTGGGCTTCACAGCCCCACGAACGGGACACGCAGGAGCAAAATGCCAGACCCTGCTCCTCTAAGCCAAACCTCAGGGCTGGGTTTTTCTTTTAAAAAACAAAACAGGAAAGTGAAGCAGGGCATCCAACACATGGAAAGCCTAAAGCATCCCCTGAAGGGCCAGAACAGAATAAATGAGAGGTGAAAGGTTGTACCCATGGGAAACCACCCTGAGAACGGAGGAACGCCAAGCGAGGACAACCCGCGGCTCCGTCAGCGCCTTCTTCCCGGGCAGCAGGGGATTTCGACTCCAAGGCAGGAGAGGTTTTGGTCATGGCCCCACACAACCACACCAAACACCTTCTCCTCCCAAAAGAAAACGATTTCAGCTTCTATTGGTCAGAAAAATGAGATTTTTGGTATCGGTTTCCAAAGAGGCTCTTTGGTCTGTCACCCAGAGCTGTGTTCTCACAGCCCTCTCCCGAGGCTGCCAACCCCCGCGGCGCCTGGGCAAGTAACAAATTAACAAAATGCTGTCTTGGGCATTCAGGGAACTCGGAGGAGAGCCCGCACTAAGGGTAAAAAAAAGTCCTGGGGTCAGAGATCAACGTTTGCTCACCTTGAGGGGAGCTCTGCAAAAACACGCAGGGCTCAGCTCGAGCCTGTCAGGACCCAGGTCTCCATTTAAAGCAGCAGGTTTTATTGTTGTAAGCAAACAAAGCCAACTGTGCACTTGCCTGGATCTCACCAGACGAGTTCAGCACCAAAATTTTTAAGAGTTTAACTTGGGGAGGCGGGGAAAAGGGCCAAGAAGTGCCAAATCCATCAGATGAGGACTTTTTAAGTTCGAGTTTGCTAAGCATTCCCCCTCCGGTGTTACTGTGACCCAGACCTTCGATACCCCCGTGCAAGGGATTAAGAAAGGTGGTTTAAGAAACGTTTTACTCTTGCATTTTTTTTTAAACTTAATGCTTCACAAACCCCACAAGATGTAACAAACGTTAAAAAAGGAAACGTCTGGTTAGGTTAGCTGCCAGCCGAAATCCGGGGAGAAACCCTCCCGAAATATTTGGGGCAATTCTCCAAGGCGGTTTTTATCCAGTGCCCGTGCACGGTTCCCTTCACCGGTCGAGGGCCAGAGGCTGTCAGGGGGGTCCGTTGTCAGCTTCAGCCTTCTCAGCGTCACCCCAGGGGTCAGGAAGAGCTGGTGAAAAACATCCTGGGGGCGCATCGGCTTCATCACAAAACGTTGCTGTTCCCGCAGGCAGCGTTGCGCTGATAAATAACGACTTTTCCAACTACGTTATTACAGCTAAAAACCACGGCAGCAGAGCTTAGAGGGACATAAAAAGTTTTCGATCCCACAGGAGCGAAGGGAGTGACGTCACCAGGAGAAAGTCCTAAAGTTTAAAACATCATTACAGGCTTCCCGGCCAAAAGCAGCGGGAATCGGAATTGCGAAGGAATCAGGCGGGCCTGCAGCGGAGGGTCTCAGACAGGTAGAGCTTGTGATATAACGTACACACGTACATTTATAAGTATGTACGTGTTTGTGTATAGAACTGGATGTCACAAAGTGTTCTCTCTCACGTAGAGCTACGGTATAACCCCAGACGGTTTTATATCACAGACTGTACCTACACCCACGCCCGCTCTTAGGAATTGGACATTTGGCAGGAATTTTAAAATCACACACCTGCAGCGCCGTTAAGAAGGAAAACGATACAAAATTTTGTGCAATTGCGTCCCACCAAGATCTCACCCTGGCTGTGTGGGCCAGAGTGCCACACGCCTTCTCCGGGAGAGGTGTGGGGCATCTCCACGAAGCGCCATCGGAGGTGTCAGGACCCTGAAGCCCCTTTAACTGGAATGTTACTGCCTGTGCAGCAGCGAGCAGAACGAGCCTCAATGGATTTATTCTTCGCCAACCGGCCGCATCTCTTCAAGCTCTCTCTGGCTTTCTGCATCCTGGGAATGCGAGAAGAGAACAGGGGAAAGCACGGCTGAGCTGGAAGAATTAAACAAGAGAACTGCCCCCGCCCCCTCGCTGGCTCTCACGGCCTGGATAACGACTTCGTTTTTCCTTCTCAGCTTGAGGGAAGTTATTTGCCTGATGATGAGAACTAACATTTGCACAGAGTTAGCAAAACCACTTCAGCATCGGCTTCCTCACCCAACTCCCACTTTTCATTTCAGAACAGGAGAACTAACTGCTCCTGACTTGGCTGCCTGCAGCTCTCTGCTGCTTTCCTGAAATATTTCCACGCTTCTCTGATTAAACTCTTACCCCTCCAACACATCTATTTGTACTCTTCCGGAAAAAAAAAAAAAAATCCCCTTTCTCAGACATACCATTTGAACTCTGTTGTGGCCTTAAAAAAGAAAGTGACACGGAAACGCTGCGTATTTCTACGAGCCCTCCTGCCAGAGCGTTTGTTCGGTCAGACGACAGCTGCAGGAGCTGCAGGACCTTGCTGGCGCTACCTCGCTCGCATTCTTCAAGACGAGGCAAATAACGTCAGGTTAATATTAGGAAGGGGTGGGTTTTGCTCAGTTTCTAACCGGCAGTGATTTGAGGGCACCTTCCACACAGTTCCTGCTTAACAGGAAAAGCACAAAGGAAAAGGAAAGCGCCGAAATCCCTGAACCTCCAGGGTTTAGGAATCCAGGGTGTGCACGGCGGCGCTTTGGGCATTTGGGTAACGGGTCCCGAGAGGAGAAAGGAGTGCCAAGGAACAAAATACTTTAAAACTGGGGCCTGCAAAGCTGGGACATCTTTTAGGCAACAATTTAATCTCTGTAACCATTTTATCTCTGCTCATTACCGAGACCATTACCTCTTTCGTATGTACTGGCAGCTCCGCTGCGAGATTCATCCAGAGCGCAGCCGCAGTCTTGTTCCCCAGGTCCCTGTAACACTGTGGAGAAAAAATGATGATGTGAGAAGAGTTAAATGGGAAAAAAATACGCGGCAAATGTAACGAGCAATCATGGCCCCTGGCAACTGATACAAAGAGCTACTTCTGAGCCATTTGCGCAGTTTCAGGCTTCTGACGTTTCCTGCAGCATCCCTCAGCCACAAAGCACCACCAGATAATGCAATAGTAAATATTTTTTAATTTTATCTTTTCTAATGGGCAAGGAGATCGGCTTTTTGGTGGGGCATTAGCCAGCGTTCAGTCAGGGTAAGGACAACAGTTAAAACCTGCAGAGCTATTACTTTGGACTCTGAAATGTCACCGCACAGCGTGTGCGTATTCTGGTGAGTTTTCTTCTGGCAGAGAACTCTGTGTTCTGCTGGGAGCGCTGTCAAAGTTCTGCACCTGGTGATTTCAAAATAGAGGGAGTCGGGGACACCCTTGAGGCCTTTAACAGCCCCGTGTCCCTGCGGATCAGTCAAAAACGTCAGAAGACGACTACAGAACACAACTCTTTTTTTCCTTTTCTCTTTCAAGTTTGACCCATCAGAGCACCTCCTTCAAAATAACCAGATACCCACGGCACTTTCAAACATTTTGCAATTAAGGTCATGAGCCAACGTGACAGGGCCTGGAATAAGGAAAAAAAAACCACAACCCCCCTCCAAAACCCAAACAGACACGAGTCGCCCTGTCAACCCTCACACTAATTGGTGTTTGCAGAGTATTTCTGACGCCCCATCTCATCTGCCAGCCACGTGCTGAACTATCAGCCCAATCAAAACGCATCGGCCCGTGTAGATTAAGCACCACAAAGCTTTTTTTTACATCAGCTCTGAAAACCTATTCAGGTAAAGACTTGCAAGGATCCACTGCCGCAGCTTCACTGGAACCAAGTCCCAAGTCGTTCATTCTTTACTCTGCAGGAGACATTTTGGGGTGACTGTGAGCCCCCACGGCTGCTCGCTACCTTCACGAGCAGACAGGGGCACAGTTAAGAGCACGTTCATCGTGGTCCGTAAGCAGCCAGAAGCAAAACCTTGCTGGTTTACAAACACGTCACTGATTTTACTTCATTAGACCCCTGACTGAACGTGCCCGGCAAGCCAAAGGCAAAATCCAGCCGGTGGGAAGGCGACTACACCTCCCACTGGGTTCTCCTCCTCTGCCGTCACCTCAGTTTTCCTTCGAGGAGACGCTTACTGTGAAATAAATCCTGCACCCAGGTCCCTGCAGTAATCTACTCCAGACCAAGCAGATCCCACAACTCGTGGCTTAGGCTGATAAAACTCACATTCGGTGGGACACTGGGAACTCAGGAATTTCGTGAAGAGCTAGTACAGCTCCTCTTTGCTCTGTCCACTCTGTAAAATTTCTAAAGCTGTTTGGGCTTTAAATATTTCTAGGCTGCAACTGGAGGCTGTAGGAGTTCAGCAGCCATTTCAACACTGGAGAGTTCGAAGCCCATTGTTCTCTCAACGCAAACCAAAAGATCTGAGAGCTCCAGGCACTTGTCATGTATATAATCGTCGCTCAAGACTCCCACCTCTAACAGCAAACAGAGACACACTTTGCCCTTTACTCTTCGCCACAATTCTCTGCCTGTGGTGGTGGTGGGATGAAGCCTCCAGCCTGTGGCTCACAAGTTCCCAGCAGCGCTTTGTACAGGATTTGATCTCCTAAAAACCAAGCTCCACTGGATGACTCGAAGGCAAAATCCTCCCTGAACTGCAGCGCCTCTGCACGAGGTGATTTGGGCTTTTTTTTTTTAGAAACGTGACCATGTTGTAAACTCTTGCTCCCACACAGAGTCGTTTACACGTGCTTAGCACTTCACAGCAAAAAGTTTTTCAATATACAAATATTTCTTATCCTGGAAACGTACGATGGAACTGAAGAAAGCAAGAAGCCCTGGTTACCTTGGCAATGTACACTCTCCCTGCTTTGGAAAATCCTGGGCTCAGCTCCTCGACCTGCAAAGAGCAGAGGGGAGGGCGGGACAGGCGGAGAAGAGCATCAGGGCATGCACAGGACCCGGAACGTATCCGTGCAGGCGTTCCCAGGGATCAGCTCAAACAGATCCTCCAGCTCCCGCCGGAGCACAGACCACACACACTCAGTATCACTCCACCGTGCAGCTTTTAGAAGGAAAATCAAAACCCTTAAAACCAGTTCTGAACACTTGGGGTCTAGTTCTGACATCTTCTGCCCAGCTATTCTGCAACAGAGGCTCCAATATTTTTTGCCTTCCCCCAGCTTTTCCTCCCCAGGCTCTGGTCAATGGGACACACCAGGGAGCACCCGGGGCGCGAGGAGTTTAAGCAGGAGGATTTTAAGGAGAATACAAAAGTATTCTGGTTCCACGCTTGCGATGGCACCCGCCAGGTCAGTGATTCCCTTGCTTATCACATTTCATTACCCGTAAGAAGTTCTGCAGCGCATCCTGGACCGTGGCCGTAGGGGGGGCTTCGAACAAAGCAGAGGCAGTCTTTTTTTCAAGCCATCCCAGGTGGGAAACCTGCAGAGACAGAAAGATGAAACTGTCAAAACATGTTCTCCCCATACAGAGATCCCTCGAGAGAGGCAGGCTAAAGCCATCCCACCAACAGATGTTGAGAAACAGGTACCTGCAATAATTATATATTTCATTAAACTTACTCTCCCAGCTCCTCTCCAATAAGAAATACCCTGAAATTTCAACAGGGGAAAGGATGCCTGGGAGTGAAACTGCTGGGAATGTCTTCTCTGGGTAACACCGTGGCATTCTCACCGTGCACAACAGCAGCAGCAGCAACAAATCTCTCCACGGATCCGGTTTAATATCATGGCTTCAGCAGCTCTAAGAGCAGTGAGCCCGAGGAGAGAGGCCAGAGGAGAAGGAAGAGCTGGGAGCTGCCGCCAGCTCAGCTCCACGCTCCTCTGCACCTCCCAGTGTCAGTGGCTCAGCACCACCTCTGCAACGTGACGTCGGTTTTGAGAGCAGCACTTCCAAATTGTACAAACTGAAAAGGAGGGAGTTGCTGCAGACTCTTACTTCTTTTTATAGGTACTAAATCTGATTTACGGTGTTTGACTCCAAGCTTTTCCCTGTCAAGATACATAAAGCAGCCGGAACGCTGCTTCTAATATTCTGGTACCTCGTGCAGCGAGGGCAGAGGAAACACATGCAAAGGATTACATCGACATACTGTGTGCAGAGGCTCTTGCCAGCCCTGAAATGTCCTTGATCACATCCATATGTGCTTGGAGGATTGAAGGCAGCGTGTTTTTACTGAGTAAAGCAGGGGGAACGGGAAGCTGGCTGGCAGTTATGCTTTTCCTAATCCACTCTTTGCCGTTTCACCTCCCGTGCTGCCTGCAGGGACTAAAAAACTGAAGTGCTGAGCCCTGAATCCTTCAGAGCTCCCATTCGGAGCCGGTCAGAAAGAACACTTTTAGCAAATAGTTTCACTCTGGAAAAGAGCCAAAAGACAGGAGAGAAAAAGAAAAGACAGGGCAGAACAGCGGCAACAAATAAATGAAACGGCAGAACCCTCTGTTGCACAGAGGCCCAGTAAGCACTTTTAAAAGTCGATTCGAGGCCCTGGTTAGAGGTTTGTGGGTGCAATGCCTTCGCAGTACTCATCACTGGAGTCTCTTCTCTTCGTTTCAGAACCGAAACAAATTGCTTCTAGATCCCACGCAAGTGCAACTTTTAAACTACTTCCTCCTGATTAGGGCTGGGGGTTTGAACCCCCTCACCTTTCACTCTAACGGGGAATTAAACTCCAAGAAGAAGAAAAAGAGCAAGAAGAAGAAAAAAGAAAAGAGCAATACGTAGCAATCAGCTATTTTACCTGGTAACACCACCTGCCCAGGAGATAGTAAGACTTCGGATCCTCTGGTTTCAGCTCGATTGCCTTATCGATGTGCTCCTACGGAGAAATCATCACCCACACATACTTAATACAGGCATTCGTTACACATTTGTGTTATAAGCAAATAGAGTATCCATGGGATCAGGGGAACAAATGTGGAAAGAAGCCCACAACCGAAGTGCCAGTGATCAATAAAATTACAGCTCCAAAAAGAATCGAATTCCATTAAAACTGTTTCAGTGAATACAGCGAACCAGCATTTTATCAGCCCCAGAGACAAGAATTATTACATACACACAAAAAAATCAAAATAAAAACGAAGCTGCCCTTCATTTCATTCCACCACTTTTTCAGAGCTTTGACACAACCAACTCGCTGGCCATGTCGACAGCTGGTGAGGTCAGAATTTTATGTGGCCTGTCCTGAAGTAACTCCTCCAGGTGCATCCTCTCACCTCTGCGGGTGAAAGGCAAGTAAAGGAACTCGGGGCAGATTAAACGCTCTTTGAAAAATCAACCTCTCTGTGCCTCCAGGAGGGCGCAAGTGCGCTCACAGGCAGGCACTGCAGAAGAGGCGGCGCCGTGTCTTGTCACTGCGTGGCAATTCCATGTTCCAGCTTCTCGGTCTCACCACATACGTATGTTTTATTTGCAAGGCTTTTCTTCTCCTTCATACTGAGACTGGAGCATGCAGAAGTGCAGAGCCAGGCCAGCCACGCTCGCCACACGCAGCTGGAATCGCCTTCCTCGGCCCAAACCAGCCACCCACAGCATCTCACCGAGACCCTGGTAAGAGCTGGAGCCAATTCTCCTGACTTACTGCTACAGAAATAAGTATTGTTCAAAACCTACACAAAACCCAGCGTGTCCTTTCTGCTCACCTTAAAAACATATCCCGTCTGAATGCGCTTCTGGATGCTCTCGTGCTCCGCTAACTGCCCGCAGAGAACGGTGTACCTGCCCAGAGGAGACACCTGGGTGAAACCAAACCTTTGTAAATGCACGTTTGCGTTCTGCTCACCTTCAGAAAGGGCATGTGCAGGCACATTACAGCTCCACAACTTACTGGGGAGATCCAGCAACACCACACACCTTTTATGCAGCAAAAAAACTAACAAAAGGAGGCATTGGCTTGAAGGATGGCAGCAAGTGAGCAGGGACGGCTGGACGCGACACAAAACTCGCGGCGCTGGCAGCTGGGAAGCCTTCCTGCAGAACCACTTCTGTGCCCCAAACCCCTCCACTCAGCAACAAACCGTGTCAAAACACAGAGCGACCGGGAGCTACTGCAGCCAGAACTACAAAAAGCTCTAATTAACTACGGTGTGTAGCGACCTGCCCTGGGCAACGGCACAGCGGGGTCTACTTCAAGGGGAAATAGTGAGAAAAACCTACCCAGATCCTGCAGCCTCACACGGCCACCGAGCTCGGGAAACAAAACAACACATTTTCAGCGCTGCAAGTGCAAACCCACGGAGTTTTTTCCACCAGGAGTCTGTGAATTTGGACTCCGAGAAGCACAGCACCTTGCAGAGTGAGTTAGTTCCGAGCTGTGAGAGGTCAGGAAGGTTAATGACCCACAGGCCTGGCACCCTCCCATCTCGGCTCAAAACAACATTGGGTGGGGTGGAGAAATGAACCACACAGGTCTCGTTCTTTCAAAAGCTGAAAACAAGAAAGGTGCAAGCAGAGATTCCTTCTACTGCATCCGCATCCTCGTGTCGCTGGATTCTCTGTCCCACCCCGTCACGCGCTGCCCCAGAGCATCAGCCAAACAGACGGGCAGGAACCCGTCGGGAGAGTCCTGAATCTCCAAGCACACTGTCCTCAGTGTCACCAAAACCCCCCCCAGAACCTTTCACACCTCCTTGCTCTTGCCTGAACTACATTTCCCATGGCTAAGTCCCAGAGGAGTTGAAGCTCCTGAATATTTGCAATTTTGTCACTCCATCTCATTCCTTCAATGCATCAGCGTTCTGGTGAAAAACACGTTGGTTCAGTTCGAAAAATTCTTGGGTCTTCAAAAAAACGGAAGAGACTCCCCGATGAATGTCTTAACCGGGTAAAATCCTTTCCCCCCATAGAACAAGTTCCCGGCTGTGACCAGCCACGTGCGGACGACAACGTGTTTGCATCATCCCATTTGTTCCACAATTAGCATCGGCCTCTGCTAAACATCCCTAACCACAGCAGGGCTGGAGTTTAGAAACACAAGCCCACAAAAGGCTTATTTTCTGAAGATCACGAGACAACACATCCCCACACAACAAACCACACAGCGTGCAGACCCACCTAACGCTGAGGAACCTGCCACAACACAGCTCCTACAGCCAGACCTCAGGCTCCTCAATGCAGGGGCAGGAATCAAACACAAGTCTAAGGTTTAGCAACACAAGAGAGGAACACCGTGCCTGTTTCAAACAGCAGATAAACCGCTGCGTAATCTCCCTTTATGCCACCCTGCTCTTCCCCAGGGAAGCCCAACGAGCCCCCTGGGAGCAGCAATAAATCCAACGGGACACGCAGCCCGTTCTCACCCCTAAAAACCATGCAGTAAACAGCAGTCCTAGCTTTATGTCATGAAATAAACTTGGAAAAAAATAAATAAAATGGTAAGAGACATCTGAACTGTTTTTTCCCTGCAGTCCTGGGAAAAGGCGGCTCTACTCGAGCCAGCCTTGCTGCTCCCAGCCGCCTCCCGCTCGTGCCTCGAGGCCCAGAGCCCCCGGTGATGTTCCTACGTGAGACCTGGCAATTCTGGGATTTTTAGCTCCGGGGGTCTCCAGACCCCAACTTCCCCTCCTCGCTCGGCAGCGCCAACACGTTTGCCTGTTTTTCTCTCTTCTGCTTGTTTAGGTTGGCTCGTTGGAGCTGCGTACTCATTTTGTGAAATGCCTGGGGATGGATGTCACCAGAGGCACTGCGGAGCTGCAGGAGGCCCGGCTGGCAGAAACAGGAGAGATTAAAAATAACGAGAGATTAAAAATAACGAGAGATTAAAAATAACGAGAGATTAAAAATAACGAGAGATTAAAAATAACGACTTAGGGAGGGGGATTTTTGTCTTCTGTAAACGCTGCGTACCCTCCGGAGCGCTGCTCAGACCCACGTCTCGGCAGTTACCGAAACCTTACGTCACGGCAATGCTTGACTAATTGTTAACCAGAACTGCTCACCAAGCTGCCAGCACCGGTGGAACTGTGAGTTCCCGCGGGAATCTGTGGATTTCCCTTATTAGAAAAATAAGGATTTCCCCTTTATTCGAAAACAAACTCCGTGGAAGCTGATGTGACCAGAGGAGAGGCTGCCTGTTCTTCCAGTTTCAATCCCGGCGCTGGGAACACGCAAAGCTTTGTGTGTAATTGTGGCAAGAGGTTTTATCGTCACACACAGACAAGGAGTTAAAAAAAATCCTTGCCCGAGCTCTGCCTGCAGTGGCCACAGTCAGGTAAAAGCTGGAAGGTTAACCCCCTTTCTAATCAAGCGATTAATTCAGAGAGACACAGCTCCAAAATATACATCTCCAGGAGGAGTTTAGAAGTTTTCCCAATATTTCAGGAGTATTACGACTAGTTTTTCACCTTCCTGAGGACTACGTTAGTCTCACCGGAGGATGGGAAAGAGATAGATAAATTAGGAGGCAGTTATTCAGACTGCAGTGAAACACATGTTCATTTCTCAACGATTTAACTGGTTTTTGAAAATTACTGGGAATGAATGGACACTGAATGGAGTGACAAAAAAAACCCCTGACGACACTGATGCTATTAAATAACTCCATTAAGTTGGGTAATAGAGAAGAGATTCAATTTAAATGGGCTGCAGACCAACATATCCTCAAAAATCCATCCATTAATGGAGGGGTGGCTGCAGAGAATCAAATCTCCAGCTTACGGTACGTCATAAGCAGCCCAGGGCAGAAATGGGATGCTGTACCAGCCAGCCTCAGCTCAAGAACTATCTATTATTTCTGAGTAATACACTAAAAAAGAAAAAAATAAAAGGACAAGCTGGACAGAGTCCATAAGACCATGCTGAGGACAGGAGGTTGGCAGAGCACTGCTACACTGAAAGGCTGTGACAGGCAGCTCTGCCAACAAACCAGGGAACGCTGTGGGTAACAGAAGCAAAGAACAGAGCACAGGGAACAACGACTAAGCACCAAAACCCAGCACAACTGCAGCGTCAGTCACCCACAGCATTCAGTGGGGACACAGAAAACTAGAGCCAACGTCAAATAACACTCACAGGAGAAAAGGCAGCCCTGACGACAGCTCCTCAGCTTTCCCTTCATAGCTTTCCCTGCTTCACCTTTACAAAACACAAAGACCTCAGCTGTGAGTGCCCAGAAACTCGCAGCTCAATCGGCAAAACCTCGCCCGGGTTCACCCAGGGGCGCTCGAGGAGCTGTGCTGTTTCTCCAAGCCTCAGCTCCCCAAGGCTTTTGTGAGTCTGCCCCTGCCAGGACCTGCTCTCGGCATCCACAGGATTTCATTATTCCATTTGGGAGTTTTTGCTCGAGAACCCTCCCAGCCCTCCTCACCTCCGAGAGAAATCCATCACCAGACTGGCACGAGCAAAGCACAGTTTAATACTAAAATCACAACCAAACCCACTGCCTGTCAAGCCGTTGCTTATGTCCAAATTATCCAAAGCTGTTAAATGTCTGAGGCTTTTTATGAAAATAACATCAGTGCGGTATACTCCAATTAAGAACAAAAAAGCTTTTATTTCTCATTTATTTCTTAGCTTTTAAATGCAGGCTCGGCTCACAACCATCTTCAAGTCCTTTTCTTATGTTTCTTAAAAGCAAGAATAACGAGTTACTTACCACTGATGGCACTCAGCACTTCGATCCCATTTCTGCAAGGCAGCCTCCAGCTCTTCTTTCCCTGCAAGTAAGCGGTCAGAGGTAAGAAACTCGGCTGCTTTCTCTCTTAACATCTTCCTCTGAGGCTGTTAGACTGCACTAGCAGAGCGACAGAAAAGTCATGCGTTTGTTAACTTTATAATAAATTTGGCTTCAAAAGGGCCCGTAAGTAACTTCACACTCTTGCACTGACGTGGAACATCCACCACCACTAAAAAGATCCCACAAACGCGTAACACAGCAGCAAATCATCTTGACCTGTCAAGATGGTGTCACCTCGTTGGGCAGCACAGTTGTCTGTAACGAAAGCATCTTCCGCACCACACTAAGAAAAGATCATCAGAGCTTTAGGTGGTTTTGTTCTGACACGTTTCAGGTCTAGGACTCGCCCCACCTCCCCTCGTCCTCCAAGAACCTGCAGTCTGCAAAAGCTCCAAACTAAGCGCCTCCTGAAGGCCAAAAGAGCTATTAAAACGTCACGTTTCAAACAGCTACGCTGATGTCCAGAGAAAAAAAATTACATCAGATAGTTATAGCATTAACTAACAGTAGTTATGGGCAGAATAGGGCAGAAAATATTTAGAAAAGTATCTTTTGCCGCACATCTTAACTGTAACAAAGACTTTTGGGGGGTTTATTCTGGCCCACCTAACATCTTGCAGACAAACCACATTCAAGAAGAACGAGGGAATGAAACTACACTGGTTCCTCTAAGTAAACACACATTTAAAAATACATTTATTTTTTGTACCTACACGTTAGCAACAGAAAAAAATTAAATGCACTAAAGCAAAACAAAGATTACAAGGGAAAAACAAACAAACAAAAACCCCACAATCCAGCACAAGGGTTTAATGACTCTGAAGTGTAACGCCAGCTTTGGACAGCCCCCTCCTCTGTCTCAAAGCCCCAGTTCCTCACCGTCGGAGGCGTAGGATCTCTTCTCTTCCGCGTCTTCCGCAAGGTCGCACATGTCGCTGTGGGCTCGGGCCAGGCGCCACAGGAACTCTCTCTGGTGGGCGTACTGCGGCACAGACACGCGCGTTACACGCTTTGCTGCCAGCAACGCGAAGCACGGGGAAGAAAAACCAGGTGGGGACGCACACTAGAAGTCACACCGACGGTTTTTTGAAACCTTAAAAGAGCCCCTGATGCCCCAAAAGCAGAAGCAGCACCACGGAACAGCAAACAATACTCAAGGACACAACCCTCAAGGGGTGGCCTCCCCAGTGT